CAAAAAGTACTCGACTACATCACTGGTATAATATGCAGTTTAAGTCCTTTTAATGTCCATTTCAAATGAAAGGTTTCATGTTTCAAAGCATGTAATCAGTGGCCGTCTACATTACATAAACTATACATTGACATGTACTACAGTTATTCCAAAGCTGTAGTTCCAGGTTAATCTGATTCTAATAAGAAACACAGCATAAAATTCCCCACGAAGGCTGGCTATCAGCATCAGCCTCCACCCCCGTATAAACGGGGGTGGATATATAAACGTATTAAGTGGTAAGTCCCCCCCCCTTGTAAGTGACAGCATTTTTGCGAAACGTATTACTTCCTTTCATTTTCTGGGGGGCTGAAGATTCTTTCTCTGTTGAAAAATGCACAGTTGGTTTGGGAAAAACACCAATTTGGCCTGGACTCGCAGGTGAGCTTTAAAAGACCAGTGTTTTGTAAGATTGTGCAAATCACTTAATACTTTATCTCAACTCTATTAATCACTCCGATATAAACTTACGAATGTTGCAGTTGTCCCCCAACCAGCCTTGGCAGCAGTCCCGGACCACTCGAAGCCGGGTCTGGTGTCTAGGTCGTGTACGTTCCACCGTCTGGAGTCTACGGAAGCAACCAGAAGCAAAGAGATACCGGATCATGTTAGAGATGCACTATCCCAAATTTTAAATGGGACGTACGAACGTACGAAACTGAGCCCAAATTACTGGACGTTGATGAAAATAAGCTGAAGTCTCATTTGACAATGAAAAATTACATTTTTCAACGCAAAGCGTACATCTCCCTAGACATTATCGAAAAGCCAACATTGAATCATTTTTTACATCATATGTTTTTTATTACGTCAGATTACGTTGGTATACGTCACAGGTTACAGGTTCAGAGCTCCATTGGCGCTTCGATTTCTCCCAGCTTGACATTTCTGATAGTATTTCATTTTTAGGCATGGTGGTCGTCTCCGTGCACCTCATCTTTAAGGTGTTTGCTGAGATGACATTTTTGATAGAATTTTCTGCAATCTTGTACTCTTGTTCAATGTGAAAATTGTTTGCATATTTAGGTCTATTACGTTGAAGTGTATATTTTCAAATTTAAAATCAATGCTCTCCTGCACAACTAAAGGCTCTGTTTCCTTAATGTCCTCCATGGAGGACATAGTTCATAGCACTGATTTTTCAATTTGAGCCGTGCACCCAGAATTTGCTGTGAAATTAAGTGTAAATTGGTGTACACTTAATAAACGAAACACCGAAGAGGAGAAAATTTATGTCAGAAAAATCTGTTTAACAAGCAGAAAATGTTCATACGCACAAATCATTTTAACACTGAGGTTTTCTTCCCGAGACAAAATCACAGTCTTGGTTATAAATATTGAAATACCATTAGCAAAAAGCCCCCAAAGACTGCGTAATACCCTTTGAGTGGTGAAATAATAATTGAAAATGAGGTTAGCTGAGACACAAAGAAGCATATTCTGATTTACATTTTAAAAAGGACCGTTGGGGCTACTTTCAAAAGGAAGGCCTGTACTTACACCTGGACTTGGCACATGCCAGAGGCATCGTCTCGTCTGAGCAGTCGGACGTTATCACCGCGGCTCAGACGGTCTTTATAGCCTTGCAGTGGTATTTCTAGGGTTTGCCATTCCTCGGCGAGGTACTTTTCCTCTACGATGACGTCAATGGCTTTCTCCCGGTTGCAAAAGTGACTTTCGGCAACCTGGCATCTTGGGATCAAGGGGGACAGGGCGGAGTCAAATTACTTTTATTGTGACAGAATAACAAATCCAGAATATTTATATTCTTGAATTGGTCTTTCAGGATTTTTTGGAATGGCTGAACCTGTGCTGGATTAGCATTTAAAGTACTTTTCATGAACCGATTTCCTCGAAATACGTTAAAGTAAACTAACATGTTTCTAATCTTCCCTGATACAATTATTGTCAAAATGAGGTACCCAAATTGCAGTGATTTCCGATTTTATTTTTAGACCCACGAAATTGTGACCGGTCAAAAGTGCATCATACCGCCCTTATTCGGTCACAAGTTTCGGAAAAATATCAGAAATACGTCACTGAAATTTCCTCCACGTTAGTTATATTTTCTTCAAACGTACCTCGTGGTCCTTGGGCAAAAATGGGTCAAAAGGAGTAGTACCAGGAAATATTGCGGTGGCAAAATAGCCATCACAACGGGTCCTGACTTGTTTCTTGAAGTAATCCTCAGTTTCCTGTGTGGTGTCTTCCAGTATTTCCACAAGTGACAAACAGCGATTTAGACGCTACGCCAACGTACCGTGCAATGGGACACCAACCAGCCCTAATAAACTAGCCGGCTAATGAGCGTCTTGTCGAAAAACTGATGGCTATGTACATTCGGCCTACATGCTGCTCTTTAACTGTGATTGGATGTTAATTGGCCCTGTGCAGGAATACCTTTCTGTCATTGGCTGTCTAAACTGCTGACAAAGCATGAAATTGTTTGTTGCAGCTCGCGTGCCCACAAAGGATTATTTCTTTCCCAGATGTTCGCCTTGGCCGTGAATTGAAAAGAATTCTTTCGAAAAATCGATAAGATGAACGCCCCTTTTTATATAACAAAGCATTTGAGAGCAAACTCCCTTGTTATCCGCAAAATACCCCGGTCTCACCAGCACTGCACGGTTTGACGTTCACGTCCGTCACTTTCTACACGAAAAACTATAGCGAGGTCCAGTGGCGTATATAGCGGGGGAGTGGTAGTGTTGCCGAATTTATATTTTTGTTCCTGGGACATGCTGGGTTTTTTTGGTATAAATCATTCCTTCCATTCTTTCAAAAACTGAAAGTGTCAACAATTTGGAAACAGTACTGAAATCATCGTTTGGTCAAATAGGGATAGTTTTCAGAAAAGAAAAAACCGTTAACCTCCCACACTATCCCACTGGATTCAAAGCCTTCGTACGCCAGTAGTTAGGTACTGGTTTAGGTCCTCAGTACAACATTATCTTTCTACAGACAATGCTGGCATTTACAGATCTTCTTTTACTGTCTAAAACTATATACCAGAACAGATTACACAAAGTCATTTGATTTAAATGTTTGGCTCCAACAAAATCGGTGAAGCCAGTTATTACATCTTGAACAAAATACTTTCGTTCTCATGAGAAACAGACACCTGCTGACATTATGCAAGCATATTTACGTAAATCTGAAGGCCATGTATGATATTGTTTGATTCAGTTAATTCTGGAAAACAAAAACACAATTATCGATCCAGTGTCGTATACAAGGGGTCCCTCTTTTTTCATATGCATCCGGTTTATTCCTCGTCGATTGTGTGGCAACAGAACTAGTGGTTTTATGAAATTCAGTTACTCGTACAGCAGCTCAATTATACCTGTACCTACTTTTTGAGGCAACCAAACATTCAAGATGCCCCCTGAAAGTAAACACCTGTTTGTTATGTCTGTTTTCGTAGAATGTTCCTTCAAATTAGAATTGTGAAAATAAACAATTCCTGAAAATGTACCAAATGATTAATTCACTCACTCGTTTTATTTATTAATGGTTCATCTCACTACCACTTACATTTTGGAAAAAAATCCTGATATCGGACAATTATACTGTTTATTAATAGAGTCACTGACGTCAGTAGTATAGGCCGATTTTTGTTAATTGATTAATAAAAGTAGAAATTAACCGCCAACTGTAGGCACCTCCCGTCTAATCCTACCTCTCGTCATGCCAAACAACGTGGTTTAGTCACTGTAAACGTGGGGGCTTCCCCCCCCCCCAGCCGGGAAAAAATATTCTGGTCGGAGTATATTATATAATACATAACTCCGAGTAGCAAGGTGGATGTTTTTACTCCCAGGTTATTTTCCGGTCATGGTTACTGAAAGATACAACTGCAGTAGGGCCAAAGCTCACTATATTTTCCTTTTTTTCGGATTTAATGGTTTGAGGGTGCAGAGGACATCCATGTAGGAACTTAAAATCATTTAGAACAAAATCTTTGTTCAAAAATTAATAATAACGGGATTATAAGATCGGCGGCCACAAAATCCCCTCATAAAGACTTGATAGGAAAAAACACAGATGAACTGCAGAGTTAAAACATGTTTATAGCAATTCTAATCCCGATTCGTCTGGCCGTTACGATGTTGAGTGCACGATGTGGAATACCGATTTACATATCGATTGATAATTTGGAATTGCTGACATAAGCGGAACTTTCAAGTACATCACTATGAACCTCTCTGGACATAATTCTCACAAAAACGATTTATAATCTTTATAGCAAATTTGATGCAACAGTTACAGTTTTCTTAAATTTTTCTATTTTTCCAGAATCCTTTTTTGTTTTACAACATTCGTTGTGCATTATGCATCGTTGCACTGAAAGTCCAAAATACAGATGTTGAGCTAAATACACCAGAGTGATTTCTAGCGAGTTATTTGTTCCCACCCTTAAACTGATATCGGCTCCTCCTTCTCTTGCTGTAAAGAAGAAAGTTGTTATAAATCTAATATTGCGGAAGGTGTATTTCATTCCACGTACGCTACACTGGGCACAAAGCCTATTTGATACGTACTAAAAAACTGCGTCATAATTCTTCGTCAGGACAATCAATACATCTGAAAATGACTTCGATAAGCTCAGTGCGGGGAAAGCGCTGAACATAATATTGTTAAAGAAATCTACGTCGCGACGCGAAGATACAAGATGGAAGGTGCAAAATTTAATTACCCTTAAGATGTTTATTGCCGACGCTGATGCCTTTGATATTAAAGTGTAGCATTTTTGCAGGCACTTATAGTTTGAAACCAATTAAATACACGCTTATCGGTAGACGATTAGTTGGAAATCAACGTTACTATTCGGGGGAAGCTGTTTTACAATAATTCTTGAAATTTGGCCGAAACGTGACTGAACCCAGGATCTTGCTTTAATGCAATGGCCGAGGGCGCGTCCTATTCATACAGTTTATTCAACAATCAGTGTGCAAACGCCACAAGCTTTTCTGCCATCTTTTTTCAAATTTATTTATTTGCAGTACATACATGCAGATATAAGTCTACGAGCGGGAACTAACGACCAGCGTTCATAATTTTTTGTATTCAGGTAGGACGAAGTCTGAAGCGCTCAGTCGTTGCCTATGAACGATTAACACATTGTGAACAAGCTGTTGACTGGGTCATTAGTTATGTTCTTGGAACTGGAATGATCATAAAACATTCAGGGATGAATTGAAAATGCTGAGACTGTTCGCTTTAATGATCAGTTTCGTGAGTACCTGATCGGATAGCTTTGAGGAGATCAACATTGCAATTTCCTTGATACCCTCCCAATTAACAGAGAAGCTCCACCCAGAACACATTATGAAATATTCATTCCACAGATCTATCTACTCACAGTTTAAAATAGAACAAATATAAAACCATTTGATATGTTTAAGGGCAAAAGGGGTCACAAATCAGCCAAAAATGTGCTGTTATAAGGCAAAGAGGGAGGAAAATGATTATCGGTTGTCACTTGATGGTTCGATCTGTTCGACTGGTTACAGATTTAAAAAAACAATCTTAAAAAGAACAATTGAAAAAGACACACTTGCAAGAAAATACGAAGTAGAGAGTATTGTAATGAACCAAATTTTCCATAAATCCTGAACTGTGTGGCTTTCAACTCTCAATTTTAATTGTGTGCGAGGTAGCATGGGCAATTTCAAATAAATTAGCATAAATGCAACCTTCATTTTTGGGCTGTCTCGTGAATTTCATCAAGCAGTTTAAACGTACAATGAATGCTGTGTGGAGGTGAGGCAGTCTTTGGCTCTGCGGAAGCCAGGGCGTCATATTCGAAATATGTAAGACAAGTAATCGTTTCATTTTGACATGAAAGTGTTCCTGGATGTAAATTCCCTTACATTTGCATGATTTCCATCTATGTGCCTAATGTACCGCGTTGCCTAAGCCTGCGAGTGAGGAAGAGGCACATTCCTATCTGTTTCTTCTATACAACGTCGAGGTTTTCGTCGAGGATTTCTCGACATTGCCACTAGCGTGCCGCTACCCGTGGCGCAAGTTGCTCATGGTCTGCTGGGCACTCACGCATCTAATTTGGATATGAAGGGTCTAGGCGTATTTCTGATTGGATGCGTCCATATTGCTTACATTCTCGTCTGAACACCACATATAGAGTCACCGTCTACAAAAGGCCTAATGCACTGATATCAATCTTGAGGCTGCAAGAGGCTTATTCCAGAAACGGAAAGAGCGTAAAGGGAAACTTGGCCTCACTGAGTTTTCCGTAGTTTCAGATTGAACCAGCATTTACCGACTACCAACTCCAGTGTGAGGCAGGAAGTCCTGTCGGGCCTTTTAACACTGAGGCCGCTAACATGAAAACAGTCATGATGCCTAACAACTCAGATGTCATGGCCATAGAGTGTGAACCGCAAAAACAAATTGCCCACCGAGCTGTCCGGGCGACTTATATCGGGGCTGATTTCGTGCTTACAATGTTGGGGAATATACTGACTATCGCAGTCATTAGAAAGGTTGAGGAGTTCTCAGACGGCACGAAGATGCTCTTCACGTCTCTCGCACTGGCTGATTTGGGAGTCGCATTTGTTGCTGCCACGTCTTTGGTTGCTGAGATATCCGGGCGTTGGATTTTCCCAGCGTGGATGTGTGAGGTCTCTTTTGGAACCTTCTACATTTTCACGGCCGTTTCTGTTTGCATGCTTATCTTCCTGACATTTGACCGGCTTGTAGCTGTCCTAAGGCCGCTGCGTTATTCTCTAATTTTGACCAAAGGAAGGAGTCTTTTTGCTACTGCCTTCATCTGGTTTGCCTGTGCCGTAGGTGCAATAATCACGTTGGCTACCAACCAGATAATATACAACAAATGTTCAGCAATGTGTGTGACAAGGTTAAGGAGCATTCCTCAAAGCATTGTTGCTTTGGTAACATTCTACATCATCCCGCTAACTCTCATACTCCTGATGAATTTGAAACTTCTGTCTGTGGCGCGCCAACACGCAAGACGGTCCAGGAACCAAGTTGCACCTCCACCTCCACCATCATCCTGCGATCTCGATCAAGTATACATGCAACCCCCTCCTCGGAGCGCACTCAGGGGCAAAGCTGTCGGGGTAATCACTCTCGTCACCTTCGCCTTCATCGTTAGCTGGTCGCTTTTCTACGTGAAACTGGTACTCGGGGCAGTGTCCGATGAAGATACTACACTCCCCGAGTGGATCGAGTTTACGTCCATTTGGTTAGCCCTGACCAATAGTTGGTGGAATTTCATCATCTATTCGGTAATGAATCGAAGCTTCCGGCGGCATTTAAAGTTTGTTTTGCATCGCTTGTGTTCTTGGTTGTCCGCTCGCTTATGTAAAAAATAAAACGGAGTTACAGTGCTGCTGTAAATAAGTTTGATTCATATAAGTATAAAATTCAATATAGAATGGTTTGTCCGACTTCACACACAAAAGAAAGTGCACTCTGTCATATAAATTTGATACGACCTTTGCCGAGTACGTCGAACTGCGATTTCTCAAGGAAAATTTTCTCAGATGGATTGATTTTGCTGTCACAGACCTGCTCTAATGTGACTTCTGCTGCATCTCCTGCAAATGTTAAGTACGTTAAGGCGTTTTAAAATGTTATTTTAACCCAGAAAATTGTCACTGTTTATCCCAATAATGAGTTGGGCAAATTTAGACTCAGATCCCGCTTAATTGTTCCGAGCTGTAAGAGTGGATCGAGTGCAGTTGGACTCTTCTATCAAAGAAAAATTATATTACGTGGATATTTTAGAGATTGTGTGGTTTTAAGAGAATGGTTGTATGGCAGCAATTAAACGCAAACTTGGTAACTTTCATTTCAGAAAATGTATTCAATGGCGACATTCAAGCAGCAATTCACCCAGTGCACTGTTATTGTTGTCTCCGCTGACCGAATAATTACTTCTTGAAACAGATTAGTAGATGACGTTATGTTTATTAGCAATATGTAACATCAAATGTATGGATTCAGTCTAAATATCTTGACTTCTTCACATTTTATTAAAATAGCAAACAAACAACAGGGGCGGATCGAGGAACTTTTGCGGGGGTCAGGCCTCTCAATTTGTTTTTAAATGTCCGATTATCCGAACAGGCAGACGCCTAAGTAATGCATAACATTTTTATTATTATTAATATTGTTATTATTTGTTCAGCCAACACATCAGAAAAGACTGGACCATGCAGTACAATTCTGTAAAATACAGAACGACACAAAACAACACAGTGCAAAAGAGATCAATATTCCCAGATGGGCCAAATTTGTGATCCGTAGACCTTCGGCCTTACATCAGGATGTAGAACATTACATGACAAACATTAAGTAACAAATTTAATATTTACAATAAAAGGTAAATATCGAAGCAAGACGTATGCATGAAAACATGATGTATACATTACAAAACAGGAAATTGTTTTCAAAAATTGCAATAAAAAGTGAATATTATATGATTTACTGAGCTGGACAAAAGGAAAAATATAAAAATAATAATATAATAAAAAGTATACAGATGACTAATTGGAAACATTCATGGATAAATACTCATAAAAGCATCAGTTTGCGGATGAAACGATATGACGTAAACCCAGCAACAGTCCCCTTGGATTTCAACGATCTAAAAAACGAAGATAAACAATTGGTGGTGACTGGATTGCCGCATTTTATTGGCAATGCTGACCAGATCCTAGGAAATGTATTGATTGCATTCAGGTGTGAGGAGTGGATTCTTGCAGGCAAGTGTTTGAACATTAAAGTGGTTGTTAAAGCGTATCTGTGGTTAACACCGATGTTCCTATTCACATTTGGTTGTATTAAACAGGTGCTTGACAACAAATGAGATCATTAAACAATTGCGGCAACAAGGTAGTGGAGACCCTTTCCAAAGTCGCAAGTCGGTCAGAGTATGACATTTCTCCAATTCCTTGACCTAGGATAAATCGGGTCACACACCTCTGGACACGCTGAAGAACTTCCACCTGCATCACACCGATGCACTGCATTATTAATGATGTATAAATAATAACCCTTTCAGGATGATATCTTTTTTTATTACCGCTACAATTGTTATTTCATTTATTTATTCTTTGTGTACGTTATTTCATATACTTATTCTTTATTTGTCAGAGCAGGGGGTTGACTCCCCGGATCTATGCCTGAATGAAGCACCCTTATTAATCGTTCAGTGTCCGTCAAGTGATTTTCAGCGGTATGGTATATTGGTAATATTAATGTAATGGGCGTTGAGCAGTTATGAAGAAAAGTGTATTCTAGTCATCAAGAACAAAAGTGTACTTCACTGGTGTAGATAAAATAAATGTAGTAGGTTCCATGTGATGATGTTTCTCAGATTCGTATTTTGTGCAACACCCTTGTCTTAAATTTATGAAAATGTGTTGACATATCGTTTTGCTTAACCTCACTGCAAAGTGCCATTTTTAAACATGAGATCATTTTTCATATACTTTAACAAATCAGGATATTATATTGCTGTGATGTCATTTCAAAAAGACGCGGTTCGTTTGGGGAGTTTGTTCAATTTATGGAACAAAACTTTACCTGTTTAGAATATTTGTGACGAAGTTTTCATCACTGGCCACTCGCCCAGTACTGAAATAGCAACAATTCAGCAACAAATCCCACAAAATAAGAAAATTCCAGACTGCAAAGAATGCACAAATCTAGCATATTTTACTTCTGAAATAGATGTAACATACAGATTTTTTCCAAGATAACATCACACTACTGACCCTTAATGTGCAATTTTGCATGGGCGATATATAATAAAATGATTAAATGGGGTTTAGTAAAAGTATATTAACGAGGAGTACATTATAAAAATCGCACTCTCTTGACCCTTGAAGTGGTTTCGTCAAAACTTAAGCTAAGATAGGATCACATCTTGTTGCCAAAAGAGGTTACTTTAAAACATGTAAGGCAAAAAATTGGTCCATTGTTTGTACCAGTATGTTTTCATAAGTGAATAGTTTGTTGTTGTTGTTGTTGCTGATAACATGAATAGGTGATGAGATGCAATTTAGTTAGCAATGTATATCAGATATATTTGTGATACCCTTGTTTTGTGCAATTGGTCATTGTCCAATCATTTTATTGGTGATTCGAACCAGAATGATTAGTAAATTCAAAATTTCGACATTATATCGTTTCAGGTAATTTTATTAATTCAACTTAATTTTTGTCTCGTAACCAGACAGCCTTTTATGATATAATTGCAACTAGTGTGGATCTGTTTCGTAGTGACCGCTTCATGTTGGTTGTATCCAAGCATTGATTGTTGACGGATAACAATGAAGCTGCTGTATGCCATGGAAAATATTGAGGTCAGAAAGTAAACTATAAGACTTTGATTAAAGGCAGAGGTTTGTTGGACACGTAATTTTATAGAGTATATCCAGTTTAATTTGAGGATTTTTATCTTGTATGATTTTGTTCACTTTTGAATTCTTCTCTTTAATATCGCGTGTTGTTTTAAGTGGATAAATCATTCACGATCAGCCTTTAGGCTGCGATTACAGCTTAAAGAAAGATACACCATGTAAATTATTTTCTTAAGCTTTGATAATGACAAACAACTTTCAACTCCAAAGGAGAATTGAAGAATTTAACGACAAGCTCACATATGGATAAAGTTCCTGAAGGAAAAGGTCTACAGCAAAGCCAATATGAATTACGTAAATGTAAAAGTTTTTCCGGTTAATTTTGCAATTCTTTCATTTAAAAGTGCTTAAACGAAAGATTAATTTCGTCAGTGATATAGATACAAAGCGCTGGCCCTTAATCTAGAGAAAGTCAAATAACAGTGAGTCGTGTAATTTGTTATGCCTGATTTCTTCGGCCCATTCTTTCTTAGTAAATTTTGAATCACAAAAAAATGACGTCCAAATACCCGGTAATTCAAACCAGCTTAACGATACATTTTATGAAGAAATTGAATGATTAAATCGGTAAAAAGAATGACAAAAACGAATTTGCTTTTCCAATTCAACGCCATTCCAGGAGTGAGACGAAAATGACGATAAATATGACGAATAAGAATGGTTCTTTTCGTGAATTACACTGCGCTGAAAGTAAAATCTGTTTCAAAATTGGAATCAACATTTGTGGCGAGAAACCCCTCTTTGACGAAATTTGACGAAATTTCAGCAATTTTAAACGAAAGAAGTGTTAAATTCACTGGTAAAATCTATAGTAAATCAATGAAGGAAAACTAAGAATTTTTGAATTTAATAATTTAATTCGGTAGGGCCCATTCTAATAACACTTCAAAATGCACTTGGTTTTCCACTAAAACCTCAGTGGCTTATGAAAGTGTTCTTGTGTTTTCCCCTCTAATTTAATCTGTTCTTAGTTTTTGTTTTTGTTTCTTGAGGAAACTGCGCCACTATATGAAATTTTCGGTTGTGGCGTATAGCCTGTTTGACTTTGATTCACTTAACACATTTCATTGCTTTGAAAATTTATTGATGAAATTCTTTCCGCGAGCGGCTTGCGTGCTTTTCTCACGCAGTGATTTCGCAATTTGCCTCAGAGAGATTACTGTGGAAACAGAATGACTCGGGTAATATTTTATTATCAGAATCTTGTCATAAATCTCTAGTAACATGTTCATTTCATTGCAGATCCAGTACACAACATTCAAACCACGAGCATATTTGTATAAACATGACCTAAGCCAAACACAAAAACAGAAATGTAGCCTGTGGTATTATTTTTTCAATAATGTTTGATTTTTTTTATATTTCCCTAGATAAATCGTTTTGATTTGCAATAAATGGCTCAATCAAAGGGGTTAATGGAGAGACAACAATTGTAGTATAATTTTACGCCCATCCCCTGGTCGAAACGTTTAGGGGCAGATATATCCCAATCCCACACCAGGACGTATGCCCCGGCATGCTCAATTAGGCCTAAAATAAACGAAAATTTACCAAGATCTAGCCACTTTAAAGCATTTCTCAGAAAGTCTCAAATTTTTGTACAGACTTTTTGTATATTCACGTGAAATAATCTAATACACTTTAAGCGATGAATGTTGACGTCCGTGTGTGTTTTGATATTTTTTTTATGGAGCCACGTCCGCAAGACAGACTGCAGAGCGCATTTGAAACGCACGGGTGCCCTTTTTAAAATCTATGGTTCTCATTTCTGACCGACCCTATTTTTGGCTTCAGACCTCGGAAAGAAACTTGTTTTTCTTCCGATCTAATGGAGGACCTTGCATGTAAAAAAGTAGGATCTGATGACCTCCATAAAAGCAGAACTGAAATGTACATGTGCGATACGATTTGCTCAAACATCAACACAGCGACATTTGACAGTATGGCATCATTAATACCAAACCGATACCAAATGCTCTATACACAAGCACGTACAGTGCGCCATAGAAAAGACAAATCGTACAACGTACATACACACTCCACACACGAACACCGTACGGTGACTTCACACTGACTTAAACGAGGCATTGTGTTGTGTACCAATAAAACTATTTTTCTGTATTCAGCCAGAAACAAAGACATTCATGGTATTCAATATAAAAACAAGTATACATGGTGCATTTTGCCTGGTTTATTCAGTCATCTATATGGCAAGAGCATGGAATTTTTTAAAGAAGTGTTTTGACCCTCCCTCAGTTGGAAAAAGATATGAGAACTACAGAATATAAGGAGTGCCCTAATTAAAAAAAACGCACAGAACTTGAACTGGCGCAGCTCAAAGTGAAAATCAACAAACCTATCAGTGGACTGGGATTTTAATGCACTATGTATACTTCTTTTTATAAGTGGATTGGGCTTTTTGCTTAAAATAGACCAATCAAGCCCATCCATAGCCTTTCGGCCAAACAATGGCTACAAACAATGGCTACATGCATTGTTCGGCGTCCATAAGGTTTTACCACTACGAAAGCAGGGCGAGGGTTCCTCTTGTTTTCTCTGAATGACACAATCTACATTCAAAATTCTTGGTATGAACAGAAAAAAAGTCCCTTTTAGCTTGTTATAGTTGATCTCTGAAGACAAATGAAACTGCGTTCGATTTGGATGATTCCATATTTATTGAACAGATAAAATCAGAGAAATCATTTGTTCATTTATTTAAATGCAGAAAATGAGAAAATAGGGTTGTTCACTTTTGGAGCATGACTGTAATTTTGCAAGTGGGAATTTAAAGTTTTTAGTTGTCCACTTTTGACGCGCCACGAGAGTTGTTAAAGTAAAATCCAAATTTCTGCTAGCGGAAAATTTTCGTTTTTGAAAATGCTATACGCGAGTCCAAAATCCCGAGAATCTACCACCAGAAAATAAGAAATGGGGTTGTCCACTTTTGATGCTCCATACAATATGAACCTTTTGCCTATTCTTCAGTGAAAATAAGCAGGGTTGTTTGAAAAGCCACACTTTATAAGCTGTATTCAAAAGACACTCTTTTTCGCGCTCTGATCCAAACCCATTGTACACATTCCTGAAGCTATTACGCACCAAGGCCTAATGGTGGGGAATTTACTATGTGCCTGCCTCCTGAACAGCTCTCAGAACAAACATGAATATTTACGATGTATAAGAAAGCGAACTGCTAAAGTTCGGCGGAGCCTATCGTGCACAGTTTCTTATTGGGCGACAGTAACGTTCTCACGTTGCTACGGTTCAAAACGAAGGAACACTACTTGCACTTCCCTGGACTATGAAATGCATACTTGCGGCGGCGTCGCTACCAACATAATGGACATTCCCCACCAACATGGCTCTTTTCAACCAATGAGAGCGTTCTTCTGCTCAAGGCAGATTATTTATGAATGGAACGACAATAAGTATTTTGCTAGTTTTGGTAATATTCCCTCATTAAGCAAAGAGTTTATGCATGCCAACTAAGAGGGGACCTGGTCTGGTCCACTGGTTTCACTCATTAGCTCAGCATAGATAACCCAAGGGTATACCAGAGAACAGGTTTAGTGGCAGGCATAAAAGCGGACAGCCTGGAGATGTCCAGA